AAGACTGGCCCGTACGGGCAGGGGTACCTTTACCTTTACCTTACCTTTGTTTGTTTAGTTTAGTAATATAAACAAACAATAATTTTCAACTTGAGGATCTTCCGGTCTCCATTTTGGCCGGTGGGGAGTCAACGAAGGGAGGGGAGAAGCAAGGAGGAACAAGTGTCAGGATGAGGGCAGCAGTGGAAGGAGGAAGAGGTGATGAGGGCGGATCGAGGACAAATGCAGGCTGGCCTCTGTGGGCTTCTCTTTGGGCGGGAATGAATTATGCTGGGATTGCAATTCAGCGTTTTTGTTCTTTCAATCAAGGATGGTATCATGCCCAGTGAGGTCCACGTCTTACTTATTGCATTTGCAGTCTTATGAGTGAATTGAAAACCACTTTCCTGCCATTCTCATTATTAATCATACAGAGGTGGCCACTAACGCTTTCAGTGATGCCAGCATGACCTCACAGGGGGGCGAGGGCATGCCACTTGTGGCTCTGAGACCCTTGCTTCCAGGACAGATTTCCCTGCTAGTCTGAGCAACTCGGACACCTGCTTCAGCTGGCTACCAGGTTCCTTTGCCTTTGCCTCACATTCTCCATCCTTCTGCCATTTGAAGAGTCTCAAGACCTTCTTGCGACCCTTCTTTCCCACAGTAATGGCAGTGCAATCCAAAGGAGCCGGTAAAATTGCTCTGCTAAACAGTATCAACAGCAATAGAAAAATCCAGCTTCGGTTTTTTTGTTTTTGCATTGAGGGTATTCCAGGGATTGGAATGCAGCACATGTTAATGGTTTAGAAAGTTGTTTATTCCGTCACAGAGAATAACTGTCAAATCCTGATAAGCCGCTCCAAAGAGGGCAGGAGAACATCGTCTCATCTGTCACAAACACGGTTCCTGCGTGGATAATTTGCTGAGCCCCGTTTGCCATTCTCCCCCAGCCGTTCCGTTCCGGCTAATGAACAGCTTCATATCACTGTGATTATTCAATTATTATTTCCCCCTGATGATAATGGGGGAGCACTTGTGTGGAGAGGTTTGCCAAGGTGCCATTGCAAATAATTACATTTCCCTCGTTTACCTTCCTGGGAAGCTGCTTTCAAACCTTTCAGAGAGAGCTGCCTGTGCAGGGGAACCGTCTCTTAATGCTTGTCTTCTTAATGGCAAACAGAGAGAGTTGTCCAAGTTCCTGGATGCCCAGCGGATTCCCCCTGTCGACAATTAGGCATGTGAAATATGCGGCATGCAAGTAATCCTGCTTCCATTACATAAAGCTAGGCAAGCACATAATAAGTAAATTTTTATTTATTTATTTGGATTTAATTGTTTGTTCTGTGCTGTGGATCCTGGTGGATGCAAGGTTTTAAAGAACTCACATGCTGTTCCCAGGCTATACAAAGTCTGAGCCAAAGAAGGCTCATTTCTATGATGCCTGTGGAAGAACCTCAAGTGATAGCCAAGTACAAGAGCCCTCTCCCCTCCTGTGGTTTCCAGCAGCTGGTATTCAGAAACATTACTTCCTCCAACTGTGAAGGCAGAGCATAGCCTTCTGGCAGTTCCCTCGCTGCGAGAAGCCAAGTTACAGAGAACCAGGCAGAGGGCCTTCTCGGTAGTGGCACCCGCCCTGTGGAACGCCCTCCCACCAGATGTCAAAGAGAAAAATAACTACCAAACTTTTAGAAGACATCTGAAGGCAGCCCTGTTTAGGGGAGCTTTTAATGTTTAATAGGTTATTGTATTTTAGTGTTTTGTTGGAAGCCGCCCAGAGTGGCTGGGGAAACCCAGCCAGATGGGTGGGGTATAAGTAATAAATTCTTCTTCTCCTCCTCCTCCTCCTCCTCCTCCTCCTCCTCCTTCTTCTTCTTCTTCTTCTTCTTCTTCTCCTCCTCCTCCTCCTCCTCCTCCTCCTCCTCCTCCTCCTCCTCCTCCTGGCCAGTAGCCATTGATACTCCAATCTCCATGAATTTGTGCAATCCTCTTTTAAAACTATCCAAGAGAATTGTGATGCCCACAGGGACCAGTATGTGTGCCCTTCCTTGTCCTACTCTGTCCTACTCCAGTGAGGGGATACCACTGTAAAGCTCCCAATCCCTATAAGTACAATGCCACATGGGCAGGGCTTTTTAACTCTTCTCTGTCATGGCCCTCATGCCCCACCTCGAGGCTGCAATTTGTGGAAGGAAGGCAGGCCTGATTTTGGCTGAAGCCATGGAATTGGGTGAGGAACAGTGGCCCTTTCTTCTTCAACCACCCAGTTAATGTCAAATGCAACAAGACATTTAATGTAGCCCATTCTCGTTCGGGAGGGAGCTCTGCCAATTTCTCTCCCAAATCTTTAGCCCGGTGTAACCCTGGTGACTTTGAACTGCCAGCGTGGTAGCCCCATTCAGGAAAGGAGGCATAAGACTAGGAAGACCAATATTGGCACTTCTGGAGACAGCAATAGGCTTAGCGACGCAACGGATACCCACTTTGAGAGAGGTACCCAATTCTTCAGGAACCTGCACATAACTCTGCCTTGCCGGTCCGCTTGTCAACGGTTGCTGACAATTTTTTCCATCATTTTGCAATAAAAGATAATAGAATAACGATTTATTTCTGCGGACTGATGCTTTAATGCCTCCCTCCGTTATCCTTCCCTGACAGTCTGTGATTACAGCAAATGTTTTGCCTGTGACACTTGGATAATGACTCTCTAATAGAAGGATTAACCTGCTCTTCAATCACACGCCTGCCAGGGATTGCACCCAGACTTTCCAAGTCATGCTGGTCTAAGGAGAGGCTGCTGGACAAGGTTTGGGAGTGGTCCAGAAGTGATTCCCTTTGAACGGAACTGGCACAGGCTAAATGCCTTCGAGGATCATACCCTTAGTAAGCGCTGCTGCTTTTTGGAATCTGGAGATTGTGCAAATGTGCCAAGATAATCTTAGGGTTTCTGATCTCCAAATGGAGAACTACTTAGCCCTTAACCCACGTGACCTTAGAAATTGGATATTTGATCAGGATGCCAACCAAGACAGAGCATGCATTATTGCTGCCCGTTACTCTACTTGGCACCCCCAAATTAAGACCAATCACTTAAGGCCCCATTACCTTGAGACTCTGGCCTCCCCACAACTATACAGGGCCTTTGTAGAACTAAGATTCCAACAGATGCCCTCAGCATATTTAGAGGGGAGTTACCGGGGAATTCCCCATATGGATTGCAAATTTATACATGGATGCAATCAGGTAGAGGACATCACACACTACCTGCTGATTTGCCCCCCGTATACAATGCCCAGAGGAAAATTTATATCGCCAATTGGCTTCCAGGTCGATCCATACAGGAAGTGACAGCTGAGCAGATAAACATCGGTACATTACCCACCAGGTAGCCACATTTGCGCTGGCAGCCAAGAAGCTCCGTTCCAGCTATGTGAATGCACTCCAGTCTTAAGTCTTAATGTTGTAAATTTCTTTTTTTTTCTTCTTCTTTTTTAAAGCTTGTGTCGAGGGATGACTTTCAATAGATCGCAGCGAGGGAGCTGCTCTGCTACGTACGAAACCCTGACCCAGAATCAGGTCGTCTACGAATGATTTAGCACCGGGTTCCCCACGAACGTGCGGTGCGCCAAGGGCGAGAGGCGGCCCCCTTCCGGCCGCGCTCCGCTCCCCGGGCGGACGGCTCTCCGCACCGGGAGGCCGCGCGGCAGGCGCGCGGCAAACCGGCTATCCGAGGCCAACCGAGGCTCCGCGGCGCTGCGGTATCGTTACGTTTAGGGGGGATTCTGACTTAGAGGCGTTCAGTCATAATCCCACAGATGGTAGCTTCGCCCCATTGGCTCCTCAGCCAAGCACATACACCAAAGGTCTGAACCTGCGGTTCCTCTCGTACTGAGCAGGATTACGATCGCAACAACACATCATCAGTAGGGTAAAACTAACCTGTCTCACGACGGTCTAAACCCAGCTCACGTTCCCTATTAGTGGGTGAACAATCCAACGCTTGGTGAATTCTGCTTCACAATGATAGGAAGAGCCGACATCGAAGGATCAAAAAGCGACGTCGCTATGAACGCTTGTTATGTTGTAAACTACTACGAGGTTACGTTGTATGATTTTAGATTAAATTTCCTTTTATTCTCTGTCGTCTATTGTAAAGGCCTTTGGCTATATGCAATAAAATGGATTGATTCCCTTTCGACGGGGGTCAGGGCTGGCCCACCCATTAGCCTTGGTGAGGCAGTTGCCTCGGGTGGCAGGCTGGGGATGACTGGGAGGGACAGCAGATCCAGCTTCCCCCAGGAGCATACTGCTCACTGCCTCCTGTGCTTGCTGCCCATGGCGGCTAATGTCACTTGCTGCTCTCCAGATTCTTTTTTTCCAGGCCCACCCCCTTCACTGATTATAACTGATTTTATAATGAATTGATTTTAGAATGCTGTATTACTTTACTGTTGTTAGCCGCTCTGAGCCTGGCTTCGGCTGGGGAGGTTGGGATATAAATAAAATTTTATTCTTCTTAATATTCAGCATGCTGTGGCTTTTAGTCACCTCAGGCAGAGGAGGAGGCAGTGATGGGGGGCAGGCTCCCTTGCCCTTTTCTGTTTTGCCTTAAGTGGCAAAACGGCTTGGGTTGGCCCTGCCAGGGGTAGTTGGTTGTTCATTTTCACTCCCCACCCCCGGCTACTGCTAATGCCATGACTGATATGGACCCAGCGCTGTAGGCACCCACTCTGGGCTTCCATTGAGGCCCAAGGGCTTCACCCACATGAAAGTTGCAGAAAGTTGGTGTAGGAAACCTGAGTGAGAGGTGGGGAAATCAAGATCTCCCAGGGTGGGAGACTAGGAGGGGAAAGGCTTGATTCAGCCGGCTCTTCTTCTCTTCTTATGTACCATATTTGTGTCCTTGGAAGAAGTTCCAGATATACAGGCAGCAAGGGACCGCAGTTTGGAATCGGCTTTAGTTAGCTGTAAGCTGCTATGATAACCCAACTCATCTCCTCTCCCCTCTTGCCCTCTCCTTCCAGACTGTTTATTTCCACACATCTTTGGATTATCCCAGCATCGTTTTGGTGGTGGAGGTCGTAGCAACAGCCAGGAGGCGGGACGGGACCCCGCAGGAGATGTCGTGTGGTTTTGGGATCGTACATTTGTTTAACAGCAGATCTGAGCCAACAAACCTGAACTTGAAGGACAAAGGGTAATTGGATAAACTTTTGTAATAGCAGAGGCAGATTTCTGTGTCTTTAGGGCTGTTCACACAGGAAAGATTAGCTGGTTGTTAAGCCTAGAGCTGTGTTTGTGTAGACATGGTTGGGGAACCTGCAACCCTCCAAATGTTGTTGGACTTTAACAACTGACCACTGTGGCCAATGGTCAGGGATGATGGGAGTTGAAGTCCCAACAACATTTGGAGGGCTGCAGGTTAAAGAGAGTTTCTGGTTTTTATTTACTACTGGGCACTGGGACAAAAACTGGGCAGGGGGCGCTGTGGGTTAAACCACGGAGCCTAGGGCTTGCCGATCAGAAAGTCGGCGGTTCGAATCCCCATGACGGGGTGAGCTCCCGTTGCTTGGTAACTGCTCCTGCCAACCTAGCAGTTCGAAAGCACGTCAAAGTGTAAGTAGATAAATAGGTACCACTCCAGCGGAAGGTAAACGGCGTTTCCGTGCGTTTGCCAGAAGTGGCTTAGTCATGCTGGCCACATGATCCGGAAGCTGTACGCCGGCTTCCTCAGCCAATAAAGCGAGATGAGCGCCACAACCCCAGAGTCGGTCATGACTGGAGCTAATGGTCAGGGGTCCCTTTACCTTTACTGGGACAAAAGATGACACCAACCCTCTGTATCAAGTTCTGTCTCCTTTTTCTCCTCAGGCTCAGTTTGTATCATGGGACCCCACGAGCCCTCTTGCACCCACTTCTCCAAGAGCCAATAGAGAGTAAGTCATGAGGCATATCGCCATTTTCACATGCTAGACAGTGTATTCTTTGCATATGTATTAAGGCGGATCCATAAAATTCTGAGGGAAAGCAGAACATGGACTCAGAGGGGAGGGAATGAATGAGCCCAAAGTACCCACCCACAGAAGAGTCTGCATGCTATGTCTCTGTATACTTCAGCAGTCTGGCTTGCCGCCTTCCAATCAGCCCTTCCATGGTGGGTCATTCTGTCTCGTCTTTGCACCGTGTGTGACTGGAGCGTACGGTCACTTCTGAGACAGATGCACTCTTTGCCCACTCTCAGAGACATCTGTCTGCCTGTTGCATCTCTGCTTGAAGCACTGCTCTGGGATTGTGTTATTCTAAATACGTGACACACTCAAGCAAGCAAATCATGCACAAACCCAGGGCACGGTCTTGTTTACGACCAGCTAGCCCTTAACACACTCTAAAACTAAACCTCTTGGGAAGTAACAAGAAACATGCCTCTGATTTTAAATCAGATAAAGAGTGTGGTTCAGAAGTCTGGAAATGCCGATCCAAACTGCCTTTAGACAGACTGCTTCCAGGGAGCTGTCAGATTTAATTTACTGTTTGTTTTCCATCTTACCTGCTGACCGATTCCTCCCTTATCCCACCCTAATTGTCTGCTCTGGTGCTGCAGCAACCATGTCAACCTTTTACAACAGCCCAGCTGTTTCTGCACAGTCGCTTTGTGCAGCTCAGACATGAGCCAAATCCACTTGGGAGGGACAAAGGTCCTTGTTGGCGGCAGTTTTGCAGGAGGGCACAGTCTTATGCTGAATATTTTATGCAGATTGAATCCCTCTTTGAGGACAGTGCCCAGTTGATACATAGCAGCAAATGGAATGGGATGAGCTATTTAGATATGCTGCAGTGGGTTTTCCTGCTGCAGATCTGGCTCCTGGCAGAGAGCAAGAACAATCTTGGAGTGAGGCAAGGTTGGCCATGCTGATGGGAAGGCAAGCTAAAAGGAGAACATGAGCAATACTGTGGCCTGCTTTGTGCCTTACACTAATCCATGGTTTCTTTAGCCCAAGCTGAACCATGGTTTGTTTGAATGTCTGAACCCAGCCAAGCAGACTAACTTTGCATTGCTTTCTGGGAACAAACCACTGTGTGAAGCCATGGTTTGTTGAATTGCAGACCACTAACAAAACAACAACAAACAAACCTATGGTCAAGTAAAGCATCCTCAATAAACACACGAGAATTGCAGACCACAGCTTGTTTTAAGTGTGGGTTAGTGTAACATCCAAACCAAACAGCCTTGCTTAACCACACTTTGTTTGGCCGCCCCAGCCCAGGTGCTTTCTGGCTTACAGAGCCAAGAGAGGGAAGAGCAACAGGAAAACAACAAAATTTGGAGAGTGAAGGTGTGGGTTGTTTGTTCATCAGTGAGATGTTGGACAAACTATGGTTAAAACAAAGCGTGACTTAGCACTTTGTGGGGACACAACCATTGTCTGCTAAGCCTGTGCTCTTGATTGAGTTCCAGCTCCCTTTAGAACAGTGCAAAAGAAAGATTTTGGGTGTGGCTTGTCCAGCGGGGGATGAGCAAAGAAGCACTTCTTAAAAATCCCCCCTACACATACATATAACCTTACACACATACACAACACACATACACACACAAACAGGCTAAAGATCCAGAGATGCCCCCAATTGTACTTTGAGTACACCCCTCAGTATTAATGGCCTTGGCTATTTCATTTCATTAATTTCAGTGGATTTATTCTGAATAAACTTAGTTGAAAGCAATCCATAGGAGTCGTGCTGTCTTCCATTTCAGTGTGGCTTATTTTCTTCGGGCAAAGCAGGGCCCTTCTTGGTCTCACTGAATTAAGAAAAAAGGTTTCCTATTCTCCTTTTTTTAGTGAACAAGAACCTGATGGTGATTGACAGCTGTCATCTTCAATGCAGCTTGCAGCCACACCCACCCCTGGAGGCTGTCTATCACCTCCTGCCAGAGAACACCCTTGTGTCCAGCTTGCAGAGAATCCCTGGCATGCTAGCAGCACATGAAGGTATTGTGAAAGTCACACTTTTTCTTTTTGTGGTATGAAAGACTAGGAACATAGGATGGAAGCTACATTATACCAAGCCAGACCATTGATCCATCTTGCTCTGTACTGTCAACACTGGTTGGCAGCAGCAGTTCAGGGTTTTGGCACTGTGACTGCTCATCCTTTTGGCCTTCCTCTTGACCGTGCTAAAATTGTATACTTTCCTAGATTTGACCTGCCGAATTCCTCAAGTCCGAAAATGTGTGATGACTGGAAAACTTGCTGATAAATCACTTCAATAAATCACAGTCTGTGTGGGGCTACCCTTTATGTTAGTCCAGAGGCTGCAGCTGGTTCAGAACACAGAGACTTCGGTTGCTTGAGTAGGCAAACTACTGCCAGCATATAGCACCCTACTTGCAGGATTTGTGGTGGCTACCAATCTGCTACCGTGCCAGGTTCAAGGTGCTGGCGCTAACATGAAAGCCTCTGCAGTGATTGAGAGCAGGGCTTTTAGTGTGGCTGCCAGTGTCCTGTGGAATAGCATCCCTGTCGAGATGTGACAGGCACCCACTATCTGCAGTTTCCAGAATCAGTTGAAGGATTTCTTTTCTGATTGGCTTTACCACGAGTGTCCACCTGTTAGGGTTTTAATCTTGTTTTGCAGTGGAGGGGAAACTTAACAGACTGTGCTCAGAAGACAGGTAACTTTCAGCTTAGGGCAGAGCTCCCTAAATGTGCATTCCCCAAAAGAACTGCGATGGGGAAGTTCCCTGCTTTCTTCTGCTTGACTGGAGCCTTCTGTTCCTTTGTGGCATCGGCAACTGTTATACCAATCCCTACCTATTTGCATGCTTAGCAATCAATGAACCTCCCACTCATTAAAAGGGGCAATGACTTCTATGCTTAGCCAAAGCAGTAGGTCAGCAATGTAGGTGGGCAAACGGAGGAGAGCAACATGCAACATACATCCTGTCCGGTTGCACATTTACGCGACTTGTTTGGGAATTGGGAAATGGTTAAAGGTGAGGATCCGAAGGGATGGAGAGGGGAAGGGAGCAGGTTTCTGGGGTTTGTGTGTACCTGTATGCACACACTCTCTTTATCCGCAAACAAGCCAGGCCGCACTCTGTCACATGGCCATTCCCAGAGCACCCAAATTAACATTCATCAGCTGTACTTGTACACCAGGATTTCCTGATTGTTGTCTGTGTTGGCTGTGCTCTGCATCATTTACAGAGCATACCATTATCATGGACAGCTAACAAAGTGACCTGTGTATAGGAAGGTCCTGTATATTGCAGACTTCCTTGGGTGGTAGGAAGTGGTAGGGGAGGTACAGTCATGCCCTGCAACTAGACCTAGTCATGTTTTTTGTTGGTTGGTTGGTTAAAGCGACTTGCAACCAAACAGGTTCTCTGAGACCACTGGCTAGTGTTGGGAGTTTAGACCGGAGACACTAGAGCCATAAAATGGAGGAGGTGAAAGATCCCAACTTCTTTGATCAGACAAGGGCAGAAGGACAGGTTTCGCGGTACTTGTAGCAGGCCAGGCTAGTCTACTAGAGGCTTCATGTGACCTGTCAGTTGTGGGAGGCAATGTTTTCCCTTGGTCTTTGTACCTGAAGGCCTGAACATGCAGCCTGTGGGAGCTCATTAGACTTGATTCTAGCCCCAGGTCACAAGATCCCTCCTTTGAGCCACAGAAGCCCAGAAATAAAAGCCCTTTCACTTTAATTGGATTTCAGTCTGGGATTTCAGAGGAAAGGGAGGCGGGGTGTCAAATTTCAAAGCTCTCCCTCAATGCACATTTTTGGATTGTGCTGAGCACCCCTTTGACTCCATCTTCATCCAAAAGTTGAAACTCGGGAATGGGGAACTTTTTAGGTAGGGGGCCCAGAAATTTCATTGCTTCCTTGGAAAGCTGTTGAGAGTCTAAAAGTGGGTATTCCAAAGTTCTCTGTGGCAGACCCTATGTCATGGGGTCAGCAAACTTTTTCATCAGGGGGCAGGTCCACTGTCCCTCAGACCTTGTGGGGGGGCCGGACTATATTTTGATTTTTTTTTAAAAAAAGAACAAATTCCTATATCCCTCAAATAACCCAGAGATGCATTTTAAATAAAAGCACACATTCTACTCATGTAAAAACACCAGGCAGGCCCCACAAATAACCCAGAGATGCATTTTAAATAAAAGGACACATTCTACTCATGTAAACACGCTGATTCCCAGACTGTCCGCAGGCCGAATTTAGAAAGCGATTGGGCCGGATCTGGCCCCCAGGCCTTAGTTTGCCTACCCATGCCCTAGGTTGAGGGCTTCAATATATACCTTTTGGCAAATGCTGAACATGCACTGATTTACCCTGGCTTTTCTGCACTTGAGATACATATGTTTTTAGGACCCGCCTTATTTCTGCAGTTCTAAGTCATTTGAAACTGCTTTTTAATATTTATTCATTTATATTTCTTTATTAAATTTATTGGTCGCTTTTTCTTACCAAGGTAACTCAAAATGACTTACAATATATAAACAAGCACATGCATTAAAAGGAAAAAACAAAACAAACGAAGACAAACCTATTTTTAAAAGGCAGGATTAAAACATCTCACCTACTCAAGGAGGCCCAAGGCCTGATGGAAAAATGTTTGTGTAATGATGGTGCCAGGGAGCCTCCCTGTGGAGAATGTTCCACAAGTGGGGAGCCACCACTAAAAAGGCCATGTTCTCATATGGCTACTCTCCAGGCCTGCCAAGGAGGATCCACACAAAGAAGGGTCTCAGATAACAACTGAAGGGTCTGGGTCAGTTCATGTGGAGAGAAGCGGTCCCTGAGGTGTTGAGGTCCTTAGCTGCGTAAGGCTTTAAAGGACAAACCCAGCACTTTGAGAGGTGATATGAAAACCAACTTCAAATGTCTGAAGGACTGCCACATTTAAGATTGAGCAAGCTTGTTTCCTGCTCCCCCAGAGGGTAGGACGTGAACTGATGGATTTAAAATAAAAGAAAGAAGATTCAAACTAAACATTAGGAAGAACTTTCTGATGGGAAGAGCTGTTTGACAGTGGAAGGTGGTAGACTCTCCTTCATTGGAGGTTTTTATGCAGAGGTAGGGTGGCAAGTAGATAAATAGGGACCGCTTACTGGCGGGAAGGTAAACGGCGTTTCCGTGTGCTGCACTGGCTCGCCAGATGCAGCTTTGTCACGCTGGCCACGTGACCCGGAAGTGTCTCCGGACAGCGCTGGCCCCCGGCCTCTTAAGTGAGATGGGCGCACAACCCTAGAGTCTGTCAAGACTGGCCCGTATGGGCAGGGGTACCTTTACCTTTACTTAGGGTGGCCATCTGTCAATGATTTTTTATTTGTGATTCCTGCATTGCAGGGGGTTGGACCAGATGACCCTTGGGGGTCCCTTCCAACTCTGGAATGATAATCATAATAAAAGTGACCAGATCTTCACACACAATCAGAGCACATATAGTTAGACAGACAGAAAAAAAATCACAGGCACACACACACACACACACACACACAGCCAGGCGCACACACACTAGAGCCTAATGAATGATTCATCTTTTTAAGTTCTGGGCATGAAAATGGCCCTTGCTGGCTGTGTTACTTTGACAAAGATCTGTGTCCTCCAAAGTTAGCACTCCAGCCCTTCTGTTCTTGTTTGTTCTCCTTAACCAAGACGGCCCCACAGTAAATACTACTTGGTTACTGGACAAGACAGAGCCGAGGGCCTGAAATTGGCTGCAAATGGGCACTTCCAGCCAAATGTACCCTGTAATTTGATACACTGAAGCTTTGGATAACAGCCTCTATGAAATTGAGGAGGTATATTTGGCTCCCAAAATTGAATTAAGGCAGATTCTAGTGTTAGCAAAGCTAATTTGTCAGAAACTCTCCGTTCCCAGCACTTCCTGCGGCTCTTAAACTGCTCCGCCAGCCAGAGATGTATTATTTCATTCTATTGCCGGGTGCTTTCTGTGTCGCCGGGGCTGTGCCTCCTAACTATACAGTGCAGGCTCAGTAATGCACAGTTGTGTATCTTGGGGAGGACAAGAAGAATCTTTAATCAGCTGCCTCTTGGGGAGAAAAGCGTTACGGGATGGTTTCCCTTACCACTTTCTTCCCTTCCGGGCATGTAGATTTCAGGCACACCGCAGGTAAGTAGGAGGAAACAACACTTGGCAATAGCTCAAGGATTCTGAAGGTGAGCCGCCTCACCCCAGCAACCATTCTGGGAGAGGAACAAGTCAAGGGGACGATGTGCCTCTTCACAGCTTTCATGTCACTGGAGTAGTGCAAGGCAGAGCTGACCCTGTCCAGGTGTTGCTGGAATCCAGCTCCCATCAGCCCCAGCCAGAGTGGTCAGTGATAATGGGAATTGTAGATCTGGAGGTCAGCAGGTTGCTCATCCCTTCATTAAAAGGAGGAGGAGATGATGGAGGTATCTAGGCTATTATTACGTTATGTTCAGTACAGGTGAGTGATGGAGGTAGCTAGTGACATTAAATGCAAGTAACAGTCTCATTCAGGGATGGGGAACCTGTGGCCCTCTCTATGTTGTTGGACTCCCAACTCCCATCAGCCCCAACCAGAGTGGTCAGTGGTCAGGGATAATGGGAGTTTTAGTCCACAGCATCAGGACCGGCACCCTGTTTCCTACTCTTGCTGTAAGGGCTATCTGTCAATTGAACTGAGAAGGCACTCTTGAGTCAGAACGTTCAGGGTTCAGCCATGAGAACAGCCTCGGTCCCTACTCCTGTAATTTCAGGACAATAATACAGGTAGTCTTTCTTCTGTGCTCTTTTTAATGCTGTGTCTCTTAGCACTGTAGAGTACCTTGCTGTTGCTTTTAGGTGCGTGATAAATATTAAAAATTAGTATGTGGTGTTTCAAATGCTCTGAAAAGATACGAGTCATGCGTGGACAACGCTCGCCCCAAAAGTCAGCCTGCTGTTATTTCAGGAATATTCCCACAGCAAGGAAATGTTAAGAATCTCCAACTCTCCTCTGGACACTTCCTTGTCCACAGAATCCAGCTGACATTGCATTCATGCAGATGACTTTCCAAGTGGGTCCTTCTCCTCCTGCCATGCCCTAAAGATCTTTTCTTCTGCAGCTGTATCCTGGGGATTCAAGGAACTTGATCCGTCATCCCCGCCGACAGGCTCATCAATCTCCCACTTGGCTGCTGTTTGGCCGTGAGCTTTTCCCGGCGACGAGCTTAGCAACCTTGTCACTTCATGCAAAGTCACTCTTGGCTGTGCAGAGGGTTGGAATCACACCTCTCCAGCCTCCATTAGCGTAATGGAGATGGATGGGTCGTGCAGGTGAAAGGTGACTCTCTGGTGCTCTGCAAAGCTGTTGGCGCAGCACAGGCTGGGAGAGGATCAGGCTAGCTTAGTCCATTCCCTCCCCCCTTCCCCTTAACTGGCTCTGCTGTAGATTTGCGGTGGCTAAGCTCTCCAGCACCCCCCTCCGGTTAACTCAAATAATTAGCCAAGATCTTCCAACCCACCTCTATGAAATCTGGTACTTTTATCCTAGCGATATATTTTTTATAATTTTTATTGAAGGTTTTCCTAATTTGAGGGGCTCAGAAAATATGCCTACCCATCTCTGTTGCCTTCTTGCATTTCCAAAATGCATTTGCCACCTAAGAAGAGCTACTGGATCAGGCCAACAGTATCTACTCCAGCCTCCTATTCTCACAGTGGCCAACCTGTGGGAAACCAGCAAGCATGATTTGAGCGCAAGAGCATTTCTCCCCTCCTGCAGCTTCCAGCAACTGGTATTCAGAAGCATTTGCCACCACCGACCGTGGAGGTAGAGCATAGCCATTGTGGCTTGTAGCCATTAACAGCCTTCCCCTCCATGAATTTGTGTAATCCTCTTCTAAAGCCATCCAGGTTGGTGGCTGTCACTGCCTCCTGTGGGAGTGAGTTCCATAGTTTAGCTGTGTGCTGTGAGAAGCCTCTGTTGCTGTCTGTAGGCTGCTGCTTGGGCTCCTTGCTAGAGATACCTTTGAGTCTTAGTGCTGGCTCCTTACCTTTCACCCTGGAGAGCTCTCTTGCTTCCAAACCCACCGTTTTTGGTGCAGGCTAGAAACATCCTTCATGAATCTGCCCAGTTCTGTTTTCAAAGCCATCTAAACTAATACCCTTCCACCTACTACCAACTACAGCATTTCCGGCTACCGGCCTACATTTCATCTCCCGCCCTTCTGGCAGATGCCTTTGGAAGGGCCCCAGGTGTTGACATGGTGGGCCCCAAGACTTTCTGCTGGAAAGACCAGCATGGAACCTTACAGAGGGGCTCAGGAAGAGGTTGCTGCCTTGCTGCTGGTTTTCTTCCCATGCTTGAATTAACTCAAGTGCAACTTTCTCCCGGCCGGCCAGAGAAGGGGCGGGGGAAGGCTGAGCCAAAGGGAGAGAACATCTGTTCCAGTTCTTTCCTGATGTGCTTTTCTTTGAACGATTGAATGCTACAATTTGTCGCCCAAGGCGTTTTTTTTGTAGTAGGGCTCAGATAGCGTCAGCAGTTTTAGCATTTGTTTATTTATTGTACTTCTTGTTGGGATTTTTTTTTTTTTGAAGAAAAAGGTGAGAAGACCCGTGCCCCCCCCCCAATCTATTTTAGTATAAGATTTTATGCAGTTCATTGCTTTTTGAGGCCTGGTATAAATGCTGCTTCTCCCACAGAGGCTCTCAGAGAGCTCTGCTTCTTGCTGACATTGTGTGGGCAGTCGGCAAAGCCCCTTTGCTGGTTGCTGCTGTTAATTCGATTTACAAACCACCCTTTATCAAAAGATCCAAGGGTGGTGTACAACATGAAGAACACATTTTACAGAGCACAATAATGAAAAGATAATAACAGGTATCATAATAATAACATAAGCATAATAACAGTCCCCCTCCACAACTTTAACAGGCCAAAAGCATGGGTAAAAATGAATGTTTACAGGGCTGATGAGTGGACACTCTGTGTTCTGTGTTTTTCTCTTTTTTTTATTCCCCTAACATGCTTACATTCGGGTGGCGCTGTGGGTTAAACCACAAAGCCTAGGGCTTGCTGATCAGAAGGTCGGTGGTTCGAATCCCCGCAACGGGGTGAGCTCCCATTGCTCAGTCCCTGCTCCTGCCAACCTAGCAGTTTGAAAGCACGTCAAAGTGCAAGTAGATAAATAGGTACTGCTCCGGCGGGAAGGTAAACGGCGTTTCCATGTGCTGCTCTGGTTCGCCAGAAGCGGCTTAGTCATGCTGGCCACATGACCTGGAAGCTGTACGCCGGCTCCTTCGGCCATGAGCGCCGCAACCCCAGAGTCGTCCACGACTGGACGTAATGGTCAGGGGTCCCTTTACCTTTACCTTATAACATGCTTACATAAAAATGACATTACAAACACTGTATTGGGGTCAAATAGGCCCAGCCATAGTCTAAAAAAGGCCTTCCTCTTTGCATTCAGACGCCTCCACATTCAATCCCTAGCATCTCCAGGCAGAGCTGAGAAAATACTCCTGCTTGAAGCCCTGAGGTCCTCAAGTGACACCCATCCAACTCCCACCAGCCACAGAGTTGCCTTCAGACTTAGCCTTTGTTGTGGAGTTTGTCCCTCAAAAGCAGATGCCGCAATAAACTGCCTTGCCTGTGCCACATGACACTTTGTGGGTTTCTTTCTTACTTTTCTTTTTTTAAAGAAAGAAATGATATATAGGAGCCTGCAATCACGCAGGCACAGAAACATCAATCCGTTTTTATATTGATTTTTAATTTAAAGCAAAGCAAGAAAAAGATCCAACGTATGTAATATGTATTAAATTGTAAATATATGTCATTCCAGTGACGCTGCATACAATATATTTATTCCATTAAGCACATGTAGAACGGATATTAAATCACAAAAATAAGTTTTCCCAGTGACAATTGTTCCAATATGTATTCTAATAACTGAGAAACACCTTTCATTTCTCTCCTAAGTCTCATGGAATATAACCCCTATTATGTTAGTTTATTAGTTCAGTCAGTTTCCAATAATATCAAGAATTTCCCTCAGCCGTTTGGAGTCAGAGGGCACGACGTACATTTTTTTCAACACCAAGCCCCAACTGTTTCAGTTGCTACTAACGCATGTTCTCAAACCGCCTTCTCTTTTGTTTTTAATGAATCTCCTATTAAATTCAATGAAGTTGTCAGTGGATGAAGAGTTACAGTACAGTAAAAAATTACTTCCAGTACAAGCTTCCAAGATCACTATGCTTTCTGCAGATTTCCGCTATAAATGAAGAAAATCAGCTCTGGCAGCCTGAAATTTCAACATCTGATAATACTTGCAGGATTAATTTCCATACCACTGGCTGAACATTTTATATTCAGGCTTTCTGAATATTAAAGTGACGTTGGGTAGAACAAAGTATGTACAGAGGCTCAAACTTCTCCAGGAACTTCAGGCCCTGGATTCCAGAGCTTGCCCTATATATGAATTGCAAATAAATTCTCTAAGTGCTGCTGAGAATGTACTGTACGAAGAGTCCTTCTGAATCAGGCCAATGGCCCATCTAGTCCAGCATCCTGTTCTCACAGGGGCCAACTAGTTGCCTGTGGGGAAACAGGCAGCCAGGGCCTTAGCACAAGAGCCCTCTTCCCTACTGTGGTTTCCAGCAACTGCTATTCAGAAGAATTGCTTCCTCCGACTGTGGAGCCAGAGCATAGCCATAATGGCTAATAGCCGTTGATAGCCCCCTCCTATCTTCATTGAGATGAGTACACATTGAGTGAGATTTCACAAATGCATGTGGAATTATGATGCCCTGGACTTTTAATTCTTATTTTTGTAATACAGTGGTACCTCGGGTTACAGACACTTCAGGTTACAGACGCTTCAGGTTACAGACTCTACTAACCTAGAAATAGGACCTCGGGTTAAGAACTTTGCTTCAGGATGAGAACAGAAATCATGCTCCGGCGGCGTGGCGGCAGCAAGAGGCCCCATTAGCTAAAGTGGTGTTTCAGGTTAAGAACAGTTTCAGGTTAAGAATGGACCTCCAGAACGAATTAAGTTCTTAACCCAAGGTACCACTGTAATAATAAACCCTGCTACATTGGCTTCACTTTGCTGACCTTCTTTCCACAAACACCTGCATCGTACGTCTGTAGTAAAATGAAATAAATTGCTTGTGGAATTTTGATGCCTCTGACTGTATTGTTTTTTGAAAGAATCTTTTTGTGTGAATTTCAGCAACGTAACCAATAATGCTGTTTTCAAAAACAATTGCAAAACCTTACTTGGGCAAAGTGCGCCCTAGACGAAAAAACATCAGCATTGTGAGAAGGAGAAAGAGCTATGAAATGGGCTCATAAATTCATGAACATTGAACAAAGTGAGGTGATGTCACAACTTGAAACCTTGGTTATGCCATGACCTGTGACTCTCTTTGCAGGAGACTTATTCCAGAAACCACGACTCATGAAGACCGTGACGTGGTACTTGGAGAAGCTGTCCATCCACCTCTACCCTTCGTTGGAGAGATTTGAAGAGGAGCTCTTGGAGCTGCTCATGAGTGATCAGGTACTCTCCAAGGCTTGGAAAGGCGAGAAATGCAGTAAAAGTCAAGGAGGGGTGGGGAGAAGAGGTTTGAGACCTACAAGTAGAAATGGGGAATAAATTCAGTTTGGTTTTCATTTTCATACACCCTTACCCTAATTCATACTTCCCAAAACAATACGTAAACCAGAACACAGCTATCCTTCCAAGCTTGCACTTCTCTGAATTTTCAGTGCAGCTTTCCAGACAAATAATGTATACAAGAAATGAAGCATTAGTGAAAATAACATACAATAACGCATGGTATTAGGAAACAATTGCTTGGGGGAAAACATATATTAGGCCAAGTTGCATAATGAATTTTGCCTATTGGAGCCTGTATGGCATAGAGGTTACAAGTGGTGAACTAGGACCTTGGAGACCAGGGTTCAAATCCCCACTTGGCCAGGAAGCTTCATTGGGTAACCTTGAGCCTGTCACTGCCTCTCAGCCTAACCTACCTTACAGGGTTGTTGTGAGGATAAAATGGGGAGGCAGAGAACCATGTACGCCACTTCAAGCTCTTTGGAGGAAAACGGGTGTTATATAAATGTAATAAGTAAATGGATATTACGAAATACGGGCACTAAAATTCTGACACATTTTCACGAGGACTTTGGAAAAAAACAAACCCCACAAAACTGATGTGGAAATGGGGGAAAACAAATATAAGAGTGCAGAAAACAAGTTACTGAAAGAAATAGAAAATGACAGATTCAGGAGTGTGTTTTATTCAGAAGTCTAGTGCAGTGTTTCCCAACCTTTTTTGGGCAAAGGCACACTTGTTTCATGAAAAAAATCTCGAGGCACACCACCATTACAGCCCCGTGACGTCAGCGCGCAGCGTCACGCCGGGAGGGACATGAATTGCTAGCAAATTACATAATCACCTCCTTGAGGGCTGGCTCATCTTCTCCGAAGGCAGAACCCCATTAATTAACAGCACAGACTCACACCATAGCCAAGACGAGGGGGGGAAACCTCAGTCATGCACAGTCATGCACAGGTGGGGGCTAAATGAGGACGAAGACCGGGCAGAGAGCAGGGTTCAAATCACCCCACCTGGCCAGGACAATCCCTGGGTGCTCCCTTGGGCCACTCGCCTGACCCACCTCGCAGGGCTGTTGTTGCGAGGATAACACGGGGAGAACCACGCGCGCCCCCGGGAGCTCCTTGGAGGAGAAAGCGGGCAATGAATGCAATGCACGAAATATATGAGAGGCGACCAGGTTTTGCAGGTGAGGGGCCCCCGCCAGCCTCCGCTTCCAACACCCGGCGCAACGATGCCGAAGTTTCCCCCCGGGCTTGGCTCGGGGAGCAGCGCTGCTCCCCCCCGGCTCCCCTTCGCCCTCCCGGCTCTCTCTGCCGCCCACTGGGGACCCCCCTCACCTGCCAAGTCCGGAGCGCCGGTGGAAGTTGCATGCATGCATGCAGGGCGCCGCGTTGCCATTGCATTGCACTGCACTCCATGCAACGCCTGCACGCATGCATTGCCTTGCACACCCGCCAAGGGGTCTCCCCGCGGTCCGATGCGTCCCCTCCGGCGCGGATGCAGCATTGCAAAAATAAAAACCCCCCGACGCAGCCCTACCTGGGGGGCAGCCTCCGCCGCTCCGCCTCCGCGGGGATCCCCGGGCTCCATCCTGCCGCCCGATCTCCGCGGGGGCGCAGGCAGGCTGCGCGGGGTCTGCGCGGAAGAGCCCCTGCCCGCCCGGCTGCCGCCGCTGCGCTCATTCCATGGCCGGGAGAAGAGCGCTTCAAACAAAACGCCCGGCCCGCCAGGCCACGCTGGGAAACGTAGTTCGCGCACCCCGCGCGGGCGCGGAGCCCAAGGGCGAGGGGACTACGGATCCCGGCAGCCCCCGCGCCGGGGACGGAGGGGGAGAGGCCGGGTGCAGGGATGGAGGGACAGGTGGGCGAGCGAGTGAGTGAGTGGCAGCCGCCAAGCCTTGGCCGAGAGCCAGGAAGGGCCTCCCCGGAGGAGGAGGAGGGAGGCGCAGAGCGGGAGGGAGGGAGGGAGGGAACCCCAGGGGTCATCTAGTGACGGCGCCCCAATCGAAAATTTGACTTTAAAAAAAAAAAATCTTTCAATTTTTTAATTTTTCCCGCGGCACACCAGGCAACATCTCGCGGCACACTAGTGTGCCGCGGAACAGTGGTTGGGAAACACTGGTCTAGTGGAAGTATTCTTTATTCAACCCAATGCATTTCAGATTGAATTGTTCTTCTTCAGGGGCACTCTGAAGCATAACTAGTTTCAGACTTTCGGTCTCAAATCTCATTGCACATTATTTTCCAGACAATGACCAGACAATAACCTGTTGTCAGGAATGTGCATAAGTCATAGTGTCGATCCAAGACAGCTTGCTTGCTTCTTTGAAGTGGCACCAATATACTGATCTCCCTTGCTTTGAGGAAGAATTTAAAATCTCTTGCCACACCATTCAGACACCAGTGGTTGTAGCCAACTAAGTTTTACTCAGAACTAATGGAACAAAGTTTCTCTTCCTCCCCAGTTTATCCTCACCCAAACCCTGGCGAGGTACATTGGGCTGAGGGACTGTGAGTTGCATGGCCAAGCAGGAATTTGAACCCTGGTCTCCCTGGTCCCACTCTGACACTCTAGCCACTAGACCACACTTGTTGCTTCACCCTGCTGCACAGGTAGGCTGGCCCTGTGTTGTCTAAGCTAAAACAACAGCAACAAAACCCCTGCAATTCTGAGACCAGGTGGTCCAAATTGTTGCAAACCTGGTCCTGTGACCGGTCTCAATTATACAACTTGAGCATCTTTGCACAGCAGCTCCTTTTTTGCATAATTTATTCGCCAGCTGTTGCTATATTGCAGAATTCCTTCTGTATCGGCTAGTCTTTGCAAGGGGGAGCTATGTATGGTCACAGAAGCACTTCCTGAACTGCTGAAAACCTTTATTCAGACACTGGACAGCTACCTAGCTTTCACTAGGGTTTTCTGGATCCCCTCTGCAACAACCTGGTGCACATGTTTTTGGACTACAGTTCCCAACAGCCCCAGCCAGCATGTGTTTCTGGCCAAAATAGCTGGATGGCACCAGGTTGGCAAAGACTGTTCCAAGAAGGTAGTCTTGTTCATATGGACTACATCCTTTTTTGTTCTTTCAAAATGAAGCTAATTTTCAGGAAGCTGGATTATTCTTGCAAGTCAATTGCTGGGTTTCTTGCCTCCTCCAATACCACCAAGCAGAAAACAATGGATTTTTTTCTAAGAGGGATGAATTTCCCATTTTCTGGACAATAACAATGCATCTGCTTGTTTCTTTGCATATGGATTGCTTTTGATGCTGCATTTTTTTGCGGGGAGGGAAGAGTCCTTTTATTGCCTTAGTTCTCCTTCTGATTAAGAGACTGCTCTCTTCTCAGCCTCCCTGTTGCTGTTTCTCCTCCCCTCCTCCTGGAATAAGCAACTGCTAATGAGCTACACGGTGGCCAGGCTGCTTTTGATTAATGGATACCCAGAGCAACTTCTAAGTTTTAATGTTTGTGTTTTCAGCTCTCGCAATTTAGGAAGCGGTAATGACCCCCAAGGATGCGCCTTGTTGATTTGTCAGATGCGCAGTGGATTTTCAGAGAGGAGAAGATGAAATACTTTAATATCCAGCAGTCACTCTGGGGCAGCTTTCATTTTTATTAGCTAAGGACATCCTGCCTAAAATTACTTTTCCCACCCCCTCCTCACAATACATTGGTATCGCGGGTTAAAAAATGCCGTGGCATTTGATAAGTTGGCCGGGCCCTTACTCTGGGTCTGTTTCCTGTGCATTTGAATATAAGGAAAGGGAACAGCAAGCTGGATTTTCATTTTCCATCAGCCCTGCTGTAAGACAAGCCGCATCAGGCCTTCTCGCCCTTAGCTATCACCCAGCCATCAGCCATTCCTGCAGACTACAACAGTGGGAGAGATGGGTTGCAGAGCCCATCTCATTGGCTCTCAGTCAAGTGCCTCCAACATGTTCCTGGAATTGTTTCTATTCTGGGTGGTCATGAAACACGGGGCTGTCCTTAAAGACAGCTTAGAAACTTCAATCGGTCTAAAATGCAGCAGCCAGGTTAATGGCCGGGCCTCTGTTTAGATATCATATAACCTTTGTTTTAAAGCAGCTGCACTGGTTGCCTGTTTGTTTCCGGTCCCAATTCAAGATTGCGGTAAACAATCTAGGCCCCAAATATCTGAAAGATCCCCCACTTCCCTACAGAACCTCTTGGGTGCTGAGTATAGTGGTACCTCGGTTTATGAACTTAATCCGTTTCTGAAGTCCATTCTTAAACCAAATCTGTTCTTAAACTGAGGCACGCTTTCCCTAATGAGGCCTCCCGCCACCGGTGCACTTCCACTGTTCAGCTTCCATTTGTAGATCGAGGTAAAGTTCACAAACCAGAACACTACTTCCGGTTTTGCGAAGTTCATAAACCAAATAGTTCGTAAACAGGGCTGTTTGTAAACCGAGGTACCACTGTAGTTTGTCCTCCCTTAGAGGTTCGGAGGTGTGTGGCTGTCTGGGAGAGAGCCTTCTCTGCGTCAGCCCCTGTGTTGTGGAACTCCCTCCCCACAGAAGTTCACCTGGCACCTTCATTGTACAGCTTCCGGCAAATGCTGAAGATGCACCTCTTTAACTTGGCTCGGGGTGTATATTTCTAGGATGTGGCTTATTTCTGTAAGTTGTTTGAGTATTGTTTTCTTCGTGTCGTAATACGCCCTGGTACCTTAGGGTGAAGGACAGGAAAAGGAATGAATGAATGACTATGTGACATTTTGCAGGGCTGTTCCTTGTGCCTTGAGACATGACCTGTCCACCTATGGATTTTCCTAGGGCAACTCGATGCTGGATGGGAACACCCTCGCGGTGCAGGAGAGGCGGCTGCACATTGGGGTACACAACGGCTTTTGCTTTGTGCAGCCACCACAGGTGGTGGTGGTGGTGCCAGAGGCCGAGGTGGCTCGAGGGCGGACCGGCAGCTTACAGAGGAAACAAGGAGCCGGTGTCAGACCCAGGTAAGAAGGTGGCTTTCCAGGCAAAGAAAAGCCAGAAGTTCCTACCAACCAAGCACACACGTCTCTTTCCTTCCTTCATCCAAGCAAGCAAGCAAGAAGATGATCACATTTCAAGGGCACATTCTGGCAAAAGTACCTGGGGAGGATGGGGTGAAGGGCCACTGCGGGATGTGGCTTGAAGAGAGGGGTCGTTGCCTGGGGAAGAGTCCTGAGGGTTGGATAGAGGGGCGTGGGCACACCCCACACTGGCAGTACTTTGTTCCTCTCCAAGTAGAAATTAGGACAAAAGAAAGATGGTCAGGACTATAAACCTGATGGCATGTGGCTGGGTGGCATATCATATCTGGGTCTCTCTGCCCCCCCTTCTTTCCTTGCAGTTCGGAGGGGCAAGCTCTTGTGCTGCGAAGCCGCATACACTTGACAGAGATGGTCCATCACCCGGCCTTTGGAGTGGTCCTGCTGCTGGAGTACGTCTTCTCCGTGGCAAGTGGACCAGATGGGAAGGTATGCGTTGCATCTGCTGTCACCTCTTTGGTGGCATAAGGATGGCTTGAGTCTCTGTCTTCATAGGGTCACAACTCAGTTGTGCCAGCTTTGTCCTCATGGTACCTCCTATCCCTTTTTCTATGAGGATACCTTGACGAGAGGCAGACAGGCAGGCAATGCTTTTCTTCCCTTTGACACAGCATAAGGACATAGAAACATCAGAAGAGCCTTATGAAGGTCAATTGTAGCCATTGACTGCCCTCCTCTCGCCTCTACAAGCTTCATCACTCATTTAAAAGCCAGGTCTGCAATGGCGGTATCTACGTATCATCCGTATGGTTCCGTCTTGAACATGGCCAGTATTTCAAAGTGCAGAACCAATGCGTTGGATATAATTGCACACTCACAGCACATCTGCTTCACTTAGGAATATTAGGCCAGAGGCTGGCCTACTGCTCTCCCAGGGCATCCCTCACCTGGGACACAACCTGAGCAAGAGGTGACTTGATAGAAGTTCATAAAATTGTCCATTGCACAAAGGGAAAAGCTTTCTCCCTCTTTCATAAAACTAGAACTCATGGATTGGACAAATTCATGGTGGATAAGACTATCAGTGGCTACCAGCCACGATAGCTATGCTCTGCCTCCACCACTGGAGGTAGCACTGTTTGTAATACCAGTTGCGGGAGACCGCAGGATGGAAGAGTTCTCTTGTGCTCAGGTCCCGCTTGTGGGTTTCCCATTGAGGCATCTGGTTGGGCACTGTGAGAACAGGATGCTGGACCAGATGGGCCACTGGCCTGATCCAGCAGCCTCTTCTTATAGCTAGATCTGTTTAGCTACTTTCAGGGGCCTACTGGCAGCACTCAGCCCGAGACTCGTGGGTCAGAATTGGTCCCGATAATGAATAACAGAGTCTGTGTACTTCTTGAGTTCCCAAGCCAGCAGGCAACCAAATTGCTTTCTAAGGATTATGAAAATGTCACTCTTTCAGAAATCGTTTGCTGTAGTCAGAATATGGTTCTAAATGTTCTGTATAATTGAGATTTGATGGTGGTTTTCTTTCATATCTTTACATAGATTTAACTGCTGGCTGTTTTGAGTGATTTTGTAACCTGTATTGGGTCCACATTTTGAATGATGTGGGGAGGGGGAATAGAAGGAGTGTGGTGTGTGGGGGGGTTCCCTAAGTGGTAAGCTGCTACCTCTCAGCAAGTGAGAATATGATGTTAGAAATGTGCAGTGGGAAAACTCATTTCAGGAATTATCATGGAAAATGATTTTGTGTCCTCCAGGCTGGGCTACCTCTGCCCTCAAAAAGGTCTTCTTGTCTCATATAGCAGTGGTCCTTGTTGCGGAGGAGTGCGAGGGTGCCTGCAGAGATTTACAGCATGTCGTGAGGCTTAGGCGCATTGCACAATATGCTCAAATTGATTTTTAAGTCCTTTTAAAATTATTTAAGGCTGGGAAGCCAGTGTGAATTTTGCTGCTACCCTTGACTCATACCGGATGGTTCTATCATACTTAATAAATCCTCTCTAAGTGGTGTTGTCTCAATGGAGTGCCACCTTCCACCAAACAGTGATGAAAGATCCAGGGGGAGTTGCATATTTTTGCAGGTGTCTGGGTGTGTGTGTGTGTGTGTGTGTGAGTTTTCCAGCATAGGGGTTGGCCAAATGCCATTTCTCAGGGGTGCTGTTGCCCAGTAGTTACAGTAAAGCTAAAAGTAAAGCAACCCCTGACTGTTAGGTCCAGTCGCGGACGACTCTGGGGTTGCGGCACTCATATTGCTTTACTGGCCGAGGGAGCCGGCGTACAGCTTCCGGGTCATGTGGCCAGTATGACTAAGACGCCATCTGGCGAACAGAGCAGAGCACGGAAATGCCATTAGTTACAGTACCTGAGGAGAATACAAACAATAAGCAGTTGTGGGTAGTGGTGTTGAGCTCAAGATCCCTCCCTGCCTCTTGTACTTCCAAGAGTGGCTGAACAGCCAATCCTTCTTCCCAAGAAATGCTGGGAATTTTAGCCCTGGGAGAGTAATGGGGACTCCCAACAATTCTTAAGCATCCTAATAAAGCACAGCTCCCAGAATTCTTGGGGAGAAGCCATGACTGTTTAAAGTGATATCATAGAATCATGTATGGCATGACTTGTCTAGTTCATCTTACTGCTAAGAAGAGAACCTGTGGCAGGAATGGGACAAGGAGCATCTAATGTTGAAGACAGTGATGATTGGATGGATCCCTGGTCCGATCCAGCAGGGCTCTCCTTATGTCCTCCAAGTCTAACTCACCTTGCAAGAATCTTAGTTGGGCAATCATCCACTGATGAATCATAACCTACCACCTTGCTCACTCTTGGCCAAGATTGTGGTCCAGTCCTAACTGGCCTGAAGCCCATTGCAGGATGCAGGAATAATCTGGACTCCACCTCCCTGGAGAAGATGAGCTCTCTATGAAGGCAGTAGCGCTCAGTTATGAAGCATGCACTGTGGCAGTGCTGGTTTGTCTTGTACTGGGAGAGCAGGATGCCAGGAGCGGAGGGAGCTTCTGTGGAGGAGTCACTGGTATACGAAGCATCTAGGACTAGCAGACAAGCACTCTCAGCAGAGATAGGTGGTGGAGGAGAAGGGCTCCAGTGATTCTCCTCCATCATTGAGTCTTGATGTCCCCCCCCATGAGAACTCCTTGCATTTAACAGCAGATCAGAAAAAGTTTTAGCAAAGCTCTCTCTGCTCTGCAAGTTCTGCCTTGTGTGTAGGATTTATTTATATTTTAACACGGAGGAGCATTCAGAAATAAGAGTCTGGGAATTCTCCCGGCTCATTTTGCATAATGGGTAGCTCGGCCCTGGATATTTAACTTGGAAGATACAAAATGCCTGTGGGAAACAATCCTAGTTGCCCGAGTCTCCCGCTGAAAATTACTGCTGATGAATTTAATTCTCTGTTTTTGTTAGAGGAGGCAGAAAAAAAAAAGAAAAAGGAAAAAAGAAACTTGCCCAGGCTTAGTTTTTGAACTGGAACTTGGTGACCTCCTCCTTTTCACCGTACGGATCTCCCTTTCAATATAACTCAATTAGCAACGTTTGATTTGGGGCTCCAGTTCACGTGTTCCGCTTGTACGTCCACGCATAAGGTAAGGCAGACCTGATCTCATAACACAACGAGAACCTGTGAATATGATGAGAGAGGAGAAGTAGGAGGTGGGTCGCCATCTTGGCGCGCGCACGTCCACCGCACGAATCTTGAGAAAACGAACAACATCTACACAACGTTTGGCTATATGAGTATGATACTGAGAAGGTGAGAGAACGTGTACGGATAGAGGCAAGGAGCGCGACGGGTCAGCCAGAGTTCCAGTTCAAAACTAAGCCTGGGCAAGTTTCTTTTTCCTTTTTTTTTTTTTTTCTGCTCCTCTACAAAACAGAGAATTAAATTCATCAGCAGAGATTTTCAGCGGGAGACTCGGGCAACTAGGATTGTTTCCCACAGGCATTTTGTTATCTTCCAAGTTAAATATCCAGGGCCGAGCTACCCATTATGCAAAATGAGCCGGGAGAATTCCCAGACTCTTATTTCTGAATGCTCCTCCGTGTTAAAATATAAATAAATCTACACACAAGGCAGAACTGCAGAGCAGAGAGAGCTTTGCTAAAACTTTTTTCTGATCTGCTGTTAAATGCAAGGAGTTCTCATGGGGGGAGGACATCAAGACTCAATGATGGAGGAGATCACTGGAGCCCTCTCCTCCCTACCACCTAATCTCTGCTGAAGTGTGCTTGTCTGCTAGTCCTAGATGCTTCGTATACACAGTGACTCCTCCACAGAAGCTCCCTCCGCTCCTGGCATCCTGCTCTCCCAGTACAAAGACAAACCAGCACTGCCACAGTGCAATTGCTTAACTGAGCGCTACTAGCCTTTCATAGAGAGCTCCAATCTTCTCCGTGGAGATCCAGGGAGGTGGAGTCCAGATTATCCTGCATCCTGCAATGAGGTTCAGGACCAGTTAGGAACTGGACCACAATCTTGGCCAAGAGTGAGCAAGGTGTGGTAGGTTATGATATCATCATGTGGATGATTGCCCAACTAAGATTCTTGCAAGGTGATCTAGACTTGGAGGACATAAGGAGAGCCCTGCTGGATCGACCAGGGATCCATCCAATCCATCACTGTCTCAACATTTAGATGCCTCCTTGTCCAATTCCTGCCACAGGTTCTTTCTTAAGCAGATAAGATGAACTGACAAGACATGCACATGCCATACATGATTCTATTGATATCACTTTAAACAGTCATGGCTTCTCCCCAAGAATTCTGGGAGCTGTGCTTATTAGGATTTGCGAAAGAATTGTTGGGAGTCCCATTACTCTCCCAGGGCTAAAATTCCCAGCATTTTTGGGAAGAAGGATTGGCTGTTCAGCCACTCTTGGAAGTACAAGAAGGCAGGGAGGGATCTTGAGCTCAACAACACTACCATACCAACACATAGCTGCTATATTGTTAAGGTTATATCTGACTAGGTACTCTATATATATGGCATTTCGCTAGTGTGCTCTGTTTCGCGCCAGAGGCGTCTTAGTCATACTGGCACATGACCCGGAAGCTGTACGCCGCTTACGGCCAGTAAAGCAAATTAGTAGCAAGCAACCCAGAGTCGTCCGCAGACTGGAACCTAACAGTCAGGGGTTGCTTTACTTTTAGCTTTACTGTAACTACTGGGCAACAGCCAGTGAAGATATGGCATTTGGCCACCCCTATGTCTGGAAAACTCACACACAACACCACACCAACACACTATCACAAAGTACACTGCAAAAATACAACTCCCCTGGATTTTCATCCTGTTTGGTGGAAGGTGGCACTCCATTGAGAAACACCACTTAAGATGAGGATTATTAAGTATGATATGAAACATCCGGTATGAGTCAAGGTAGCAGCAAAATTACACTGGCTTCCCAGCCTTAAAATAATTTTAAAAAGGACTTAAAAATTCAATTTGAAGCATATTGTGCAATGCGCCTAAGCCTCAGGACATGCTAGTAAATCTCTGCAGCCACCTCAGCACTCC